TTTTTTTGCTTGGCATTCTGAACAACAGAAGTAGTTTTTTTGCTGTCATTTTTCAAAGTGGGCTTCTGAGCAGAATAGTCATTCATCAAATAAAGAAGCATTTCTTTTTCTTAGTTTTAAGATTTTATTTTTTTTACTGTAAATATAATGATTAGTAGGAGGTTTGTTTTTACAGTGGGAGCAGTGGGAGGATTTTAATTGGTAGTCCTTATCTGATTGTTCCTTTTGTTTTTGGGTTCGGATTTCGTTGGACTTCTGTGCAACTTCTCCTCAGTAATCATCTAATTCTTTGACTTTCTTTTCATATTTATCTAAATTAAAAGGCAAATAATTTTCATAATAAGAAATATCCTCTGGTTTACCTTGTTTCAACTCTTCAAATTTTTGCTTGTGTTTTCTAACATCAAAACTAACTTTGTTACATTGTTGTTCTATATCATTAATTTTCTTTACTTCTTCCAAGTCTTTTATTGCCTCTTCTGTATATTTTTTGAGGTTAGAGCGGAATGTGTATGAGTCCATGTTCATAACTAAAAATTATTTTTTATTTTATCTATATTATAATTTTTGCAAAAAAAGAACCCTACACAGTTGAATATTTTTGAAAATTATCTTACTTAGTTAGAGAAGTTATTTCAACAATTAGCAAAATACTACCATAAATTTAAAAATTGTTTACAGTCTATTTCTTATCATCTTTCAGCAATTTATAACCAACATACATAGCTACTCCTATCATTACATTTTCTAAGGTAAATAAGTCTCAAACTCAATGTCTGTCTTCTAAGTTGGAAACTGTTCCGGAGATAACGCTATTATTATTTTTAATTCTTTCAGTTAATTTTTTTAAATGATTACTAAGGCTTTTGCTTTCTCCTTGACCGTTGTTTAATTGCTCTTCTAGCACTATGATTTTTCTTCTTCAACTGGCTCTTTCTTCTTCGGAAAGATTAGGGTCGTTGACTTTATTTCTAGCCTGTTCTAATTCCTTTTCTAACTCTTTATTTTTCCTTTCTTGCTCTTCTAGTGCTTCGCGGGCTTTTTTTTCTTCTTCTCGAGCTTGCTTATTATCCTCCCTAGCTTGGTCAATGGTTTTACCTTTGAGGTCTAATTTTCTTTTTTTGTTTTTCTCTTTTTTGTGGAAGACATCATGAACTTTTTTAACGGCATAAGTTCCACAAATGGCACAAAAGGCGATTAATAATGGTGCTGGCATAATTTTATTTCTTATTTATATTTGCTTGTTTTTTGATTGTATTTAGTTGTATAGTTAAACTTTTTAGGGTTAGGGAATGTTTGTTTAGGTCTTGATTTCAAAGGGCGAGGGTAGATTTAATTTCTTGTATTTTAGTTTCGATTAGTTTTATTTTTTCTTGGGTTTTCATATTTTTAACTTAATTTCCCTCCTATGGTTGATAAGAGGGTAGTTATTTCTTCAACTGATTCTTTTATAATTCTACTGTAAGCAGTATTGGCTGCTGTTATTTCATCCTCTATTTTGGTAATTGTTTCATCAACTTGTTTCAAGCGGGTATCTATGGCTTTACTAATTTGATTAGCCGCCAGTATCGAACTCTCTTTTATTACTTCTTCTATCTTAGGGTCACGAGGATTAGTGAATTTGCCATCAAAATTATCCAACTGACTACTATCTTTTAGTCTTCAAAAGAACTCTAACATCTCGCCTCATTTGATTTTTATTTTTTCATCTTCCTTGTCATTGTCGTCTTCATTTCTTCTGTTTTTCTTTTCATCCTCTTCTAATTCATACTCCGCTTCGGGATTTTTGTCAATAAATTTCTGCCAAAACGGCAAAAAGTCTTTATCAAAAATAATTTTGTTAAAACGATTTACTCATTGATTGTCTTCATCATTCAAAACTGTTTCATCTATTCAGCGCTGAGGAAATTGATTACTAATTCCGGCATCACTAGCATATCCCATAAACTCCCCCAAGGTTCAACTGAAAGACAAACGATTGCTTAATCTTCCGGACTGATAAACAGCAGGGTTAACATTATCTAAATGATTAGTAGCGGCAATTCAGAGATTTTTACTTTCTTCATTTTTACTATCGCTTCCCATACATTCTTTAAGGAATGTTAACTGAGAAGAAGCATCTTTTGGAGGTAGCAAATGAGTTGTGCATATTTGGTCGGCTTCATCCAAAAATAGAATATAACGAACTTCGCCATCTCCTTCTGCTCTTTCAAAGCCAAAATCTTCTACTAATTTGTGAGTTATATCACTAATGGTGTAAATAAACTTTATCAAAAGAGTAGCACCAATATCATTATCAGGTTTTTTAGGAGTTAAGGTAGAACCTTGAATAACAACTAAGGGATATACATCAGCCTCATAAGCAAGTTTTTCAGCCATTACTGATTTTCCGGTTCTAGGAGCACCATAGAATAGGGCGTTGTTATCCAAGTTGCTAAGGTCATCAGGATCTAGTTCGCTTCGGACAGGGTTAGGCCTAGCTTTATCTTCTCAATCAGTGATTAACTTACTGAATTTGTAGTTTTGAACTTCATCTTTTAGTTTTAATTCACTATGTCCTTTTTTCTTGGCTAATTCCTTTTGCTCCTCGGTTAAGTTATTCCAAAGCGAAGGAGGAAACTTAATTTCATAAATAGCGGCAATGTCAAAATAATCAGGTTCTCCGCCATACATCTTGCTCATTTTTTCTCAGGATGATTCAAAACTATTACGATTTCTTAGTAGTCATCGGTCAGCCCAATTATGAATTTTCCTTTTTCAGTGTAGTCCTTGTCTTTTTACCTTTATGTCAACGATAAAGTTATTGGCTTCACTTATGACTGAAGAAAGTTCATTAACTGAAGTTTTATTAATCTTTTTAGTAAATTCTTTTATTTTTCTTTGTAGTTCTCTTGATTCTAATTCATCCTTAGTTCAATTTTTTTTAGCAAATTCTTCTATTTCTGTTTTGGCTTTTTCACGGGCTTTTTTTGGTTTCTCTTTTTCTTCTTCTGCTAATCTAGTAATCTCTTTTTTCATTTCACGAACAAACAAATTAAGTTGTGAATTCAAATACAAACTATCTACATATTCTTCTCAATTTTCAGCATCCTTTCAGAGGTTAGCATTTAAATCAGTAGCAACAACAGAAGAGTTTTGCTGAAATAACTTATTTATTTCTTCCTTAGTTTTTTCTCTTTTTTGCGGAAGATGAGCGAAAAAATAATATCCTATTCCTGCTATAGCAATAATAAGTAGAAGTTGTAATTGTTCTTGCTGTTTATTTTCTGGCTTTTCTTCGGCGTTGGAGTTAGTTGTATACATATTATCCTTGTAATCTTCTTAAAAATTCGGCTCTTTTTAGTATTCTTGCTTCTGCTAGTGCTTCTATTCTTTTCTTTTCCTCCTCTGTAAGTTCTCGCGACTGAGGAGTTTCTTTTTTAGTAAGATGATAAATAGCAAAGATTAGAAAAACTGCAAGAGCAATTAGAACTAGACCTCTTTTTCAGGGTTCTAGTTCGCCATAAAGAGAATGGCCAACTATAAAGGTAGTTCCAATTCCCTCTTCTACTTTTTCTGTGAATTCACCAAGTTTAGATTTTATTTCTTCGGGATTAGTCATATTAGAAGTCGTAATAATTGGGTTCTTGTTTTTTGGAGGGCTGTGAGTAGAATCAAAAGATAACCAAGCAAATTACACTAGAAATAATAATTAGTTGCTTGTTGTCTTGAAAGAAGTCGTTTTTTGGGTCTTTTTCTCTTTTCTTTTTACTGTTTCCATTGTCATCATCATCAGAACTTTCATTATCACTGTCAGAACTATCGTTATCAGAAATATTGGGTTCTTTATGACCTCCGCCTCCGGAACCATCAGGTTTTCTCTTTTCTCCTCTTTCAATAGCCTTTTTCATGGCTTCTATTAAATCATCAACTTTCCTTTTTGGGTCAAAATTAAACTTATCAGAAAGTTCTTTTTTTTTCTGATATTTCTGTTGTAGTAATAAACCATCTTCCTCGATGGCTTGAATAAGAGCTGCTTTTTTTGATGGGTCAGTTTCTTTCATGGCCTTTCGCTTATTTTCTTCCATTCTCTG